AAAGGAGGGGATTCATTTTCTGCTGTATATTTTGTTTCTGGCTTATTTTATTAGGGAAGATGCTACCAAACATAAAACTAGACTATATTTCATAAGAGTCGTGTAAGCAAAAAGTAAGACAATGTGCAACAGGCTAAAAAGAAATGACAGAGAAAAAGCTTAGCTGAGGGATGTTATAGATTAATAAGAAAACATTTTGGGGGAAGCAAAAAAAACTTGAATCTGTCTTTTTTTATAAATGCTAGAATATATTTTTCTTTTTGGTGGTCTTCTTTGGGCAAGTTTAACAGAGTTTTACGATGGCAATTGTTGGCATCATTACTGAGGGTAACTAAAGTACTTTCAGTGACGCCTGCACTCCCTAAAACATATTTTTTTGACCATTTAAGGTGAGTCGATCATTATTTCAAGCCAGAAACATAAGTTGAAGATTGGATTTGGTTCAATACATAATTTTGCTAGATCAGCTTTTTGCCCTTTTACGGAAGCCCTGAAAGACAAGCGAGAAATAAATCTAGATTAAAATATTTCTATGTTGTTTTTTATTGTCCTGCCCTTAAAGTCAAGTGAAAAAATAAAATCTAGATTTCTTTTGAGACATGTTTATTGAGCTTCTCATAAGTACTCACAAGTCCCTCCTTGGGCTGCCACCTTACTGTGGTGGAGGGGTTTGAGTGTCCCAATGATCCTTGGAGCTATATTGTCAGGGGCTTTATGCCCCTGGTTGGGTCACCCAAGGCAAACAGGTTCTAGGTGAGGGATCAGACAAAGTGCAGCCCACAGACCCCTCATAATAATTACCATAGATGGAAACAGTGTTCCCTCGCCCGGACGTGGGTCACCGGGCCCCACTCTGGAGCCAGGCCTGGAGGAAGGGCACGCTGGTGAGTGCCTGGTGGCCGGGCTTCCACCCATGGAGCCCGGCCGGGCACAGCCTGAAGAGGAAATGTGGGTCCCCCTTCCGATGGGCTCACCATCCGTGGGAGGGGCCAAAGGGTTCAGGTGCAATGTGGTATGGGTGGCGGCCGAAGACGGAGACCTTGGCAATGACAGTGAGACCTGGAGGGGTGTAGTTGGGAGGAATGGCCCTCCCATTTAGAACCTGAGTGGTGTTTTGTTGTTGGACTTCTGTGCTCGTCATGGATTGTCCATAACTGACACCATGTTCAAGCATAAGGGTGTCCATATGCGCTTTTGGCACCAGGACACCCTAGGCCGCAGTTCGATGATCGACTTTGTTGTCGTGTCATCGGATCTGCGGCTACATGTCTTAGACACTCGACTGAGGGGAGCGGAGCTTTCCACTGACCACTACCTGGTGGTGAGCTGGCTCCGATGGTGGGGGAGGGTGCCGGTCAGATCTGGCAGACCCAAACAAACCTTGAGGGTCTGCTGGGAACGCCTGGCAGGGTCTCCTGTGGGGCGGAGTTTCAACTCCCACATCCGGGAGCGCTTCAAACACGTTCCCGGGTAGATGGGGGACATTGAGTCCAAGTGGGCCATGTTCCGCACCTCCATTGCCGAGGCGGCTTACCGGAGCTGTGGTCGCAAGGTTGTTGGTGCATGTCGAAGCAGCAATCCTCGAACCCGCTGGTGGATACCACTGTTGAGAAGTACTTTGAGGCTGAATAAGTAGTCCTGCTGGGTCGTATTGGCCTGTGGGACTCCGGAAGCAGCTGATGGGTACCGGCAGTTCAAGCGGCATGCAGCTTGGGTGGTTGCTGAGGCAAAAACTCGGGCGTGGGAGGAGTTTGGAGAGGCCATGGAAAACGACTTCCGTACATCCGAGGGGGGGAAGAGGTACACCACCAACACTGTTTACAGTGGGGAGGGTGTGCTGCTGACCTCAACTCAGGACGTTGTGGGTCGGTGGGTAGAGTACTTCGAAGACCTCCTCAATCCCACCGGCACGTCTTCCACTGAGGAAGCGGAGCCTGGGGACCTTGGGGCGGGCTCTCCAATCTCTGGTGCTGAGGTCACCGAGGTGATTAAAAAGCTCCTCGGCGGTAAGGCCCCGGGAGTGGATGAGATTCGCCGGGAGTACCTTAAGGCTCTAGATGTTGTTGGGTTGTGTTGGTTAATGTGCCTCTGCAGCATCACATGGACATCGGGGGCAGTTCCACTGGATTGGCAGACCGGGGTGGTGGTCCCCCTATTCAAAAAGGGGGACCGAGAGTAGGGGATTCAAACTCTTAAGCCTCCCTGGTAAGGTCTATTCCGGGGTTCTGGAGAGGAGGGTCCGTCGGATAGTCGAACCTCAGATTCAGGAAGAGCAGTGTGGCTTTTATGGACAGAATTTCTAGGCGCAGTCAAGAAAGCCATCATCATGAAGCCAATAGGACCACATCATCCGCAAAAAGCGGATGATGTGGTCCTATTGGCTTCATCAGCTCATGATCTACAGCTCTCACTGGAGCAGTTTGCAGCCGAGTGTGAAGCGGATAGGATGAGAATCAGTGCCTCCAGGTCCGAGGCCATGGTCTTGAGCCGAAAAAGGGCAGAGTGCCTTCTCCGGGTCAGGGGGGAGGTCCTGCCTCAAGTGGAGGAGTTCAAGTATCTTGGGGTCTTGTTCACGAATGAGGGAAAAATGGAGTGGGAGATCGATAGACGGATTGGTGCTGCATCAGCAGTGATGTGGGTGCTGTACCTGTCTGTCATGGTAAAGAGAGAGCTGAGTCAAAAAGCGAAGCTCTCGATTTACCGGTCGATCTACATTCCTACCCTCATCTATGGTCATGAGCTTTGGGTCATGACTGAAAGAACGAGGTCATGGATACATGCGGCCGAAATGAGTTTCCTCCTGGGAATGCCTTGGTATTTCCCCGGACAAGATGGCCCAAGTGGCTGGGGAGAGGGAAGTCTGGCTCTCTCTGCTTAAGCTGCTGCCCCCGCGACCCGACCCCGGATAGGTGGAAGACAATGGATGGATGGATGTATGGATGGATGGTTCTCACAAGTACATACACATTTGTTAGTAAAATTATATGTACAGGACATCTTTGAGGCCCTTTTTTATGTATAAAGTGCCTTATCTGTAAAAAGTGATAGAAGTGAGATTTTGGTAAGCTATATTTACTCTTCAGGTTTTTGAATGATTCCACTGCTTCTCCTTCAAAGAGGGTAGCAAGGTGGTCTAGACTCTTATCACTTTCAACACAGGGTCCTGATATGATGGGGGAAATCAGGGTTATTCCAAACTGGGGCCAGCAAAGAGAAGTGATTTTGAGTTCAAAATAGGTCTTGATCCTGTTCCATTTAACCAGTAGGTTCAGTACTACGTACTTCTTGTCATAATTTGGTTCCAGGTTTAGCTTGACCAGTTTCTTAAGAGATGGGCTGATTATTATTCCAATGCAAGTTATTCCTGTCGGTGGCCAGTAGAAGAGGAAGTTACCAGGTAAAGCAGAGCCCTTTATAGACACATGACCCCCGTCTTTGAGAAATTAACCTTAAAACGTGAAACATGTCCAAAAACAAAAGTACATTGTCTGCATAGTGAGATATTTGTGAACTGCTCAATAACAGTGCGAACCCGTCGGGTTCTTCGCTCCAGGAGGAAGGGATCTGAGCAATGGGAGTTAATTATTACAGTAGCTTTAGTGACCAATAATAAGACCTATAATGTTTTTCCATGTTCATAGCATAAAAATCAATAGGCAATTCAACTCTATCAAAGACTATTTTAATGAGTCCAGGGACATCACTACTCCCTGTATGGCATTATTACTGGCAAACTGTATGTTCATAAGTCTTCTGATATTATGAAAAGAGTTTCTTCCCTCGATAAATCCTGTTTCATCAGGCTTCGCCAGACAGGCAATTATTGGTTGAAGGCTTAGGGTCAATACCCTCACCAAAATATTTGCATTTACATTAAAAAGTGATATATGTAAGATGCCGTGTCCTCTGGGTCTTTGTTTTTTTTTTTCAAGATTAGACTAATGTTAGCTAGTGACATTGTTTCTGGCAAACAATGTGTGACATTAAAGCCATAGTGAAAAGTTTTAGTTAGATAAAAAGTAAGATTATATTTATATGCTTTTAACCATTCAGCTGGAAATCTGTCAGGGCCTGGCGATTTCCCACTACACATTAGTGCTGTTGCATCTAACATTCCCCCTCCTGTATGAGCCTACCGATGATGTTTATTTAGTTTCATCTGTAATGTTTTCTTACATTCTGCCATATAGGAAATGGTGAACCCTCATAAATAAGCCTTTGCAGATTCCCAGAGAAACTCTGGACTTGTCTCACTAGTATCATTTATAGCAAAAAACTGTTTTATTTCTGCCTCCTCTTTCTCCTTGAAATCTTGTAAGGCCACGGAGCGGAGTACAGGTTTGTGGTGCTGTGTGAGTGTTGTGTCTCCATTCTTCCACCAGGGTGCGACAGACAGGTGCAGTCGCACAGCTGCACCGCATCAGCAGCATTCACTGAGGAGCTTCTTAAGCACCTGAGACCTTGGAGGAGGCGTTGGATTGTTCAATCAGCCGAGTGGTAATCAGACCAACAAACCCTGCTCTGTGTTTGCCTTTGTGCTTTCTTCTCATTCGTTAATCTCAGCTCTGTCCCTCCTTTAAGGTAGTGATAGCGAGATGAAGACTCTTGAAGCACTGAGGCTTTCCATCCAATTGCTCGACTCATGAGCCGAGGCATCAGCATGCTTCATTTGCTCTACTGCGCCATCAAGTGGACAATAAATGTAAGATAGGCAGAATGATTATAATGACATGAATTTCTTGTGTAAAGCTTTAAATTGATTAAATAAATGAACGGTGTTTGTGATGCCAATAAATTCTGAATATGGTGTCAATCTCATCTTAACCTGTCTTTATGATACAATGGCTGGATCAAAAGGAAAAGTGGAAACAAGTATCATAGACAGATGTGATGTGAATTTGTTTACTTATACCCATATTGGTTATAATAACGGTCTTCATTTAACCCGGTAAAGCCTCCTTGGGATTAACTTTTTTCCAAGATAGATTTATAAAAATACGTTCTCTAACTGGGAATCGAACCCAGATAACATAGGTGCAAGAACCAACTCTTAACCACTAGAATACCAATAACTGCAAATGAGCCTGGTAAGCCATTTCACCAACCGTAATTTTATATAAGTCATAAATATATTTCTATTTGTTCCAAAATTCTCATCTTTCTCACTGATTCCAAAAAAGACACTCAAACAGATAGGTAACGCACACGCAATACGATCTCAAGACAACTAAATGTGACTGGGAATCAGCAGCGTTGTGCTGTCCTTTATACTTCAAATCACACGCAAACCAGCGAACCAGTTCCTGAGTCAGTCACATGGTATTCGAAGCCTCTAAAGTCACCACATACGTCTTCGACACAAGCCTCGATACGCGCTTCACAAAAAGTCTGCCTGGATTACTCGACACACGCTCCGAAGCACACTGGATACATCACTAACTTTAAGGTTGCTGTCAGCGGAACCCTGCTCTGGATAAACCCTTTGTGGTTCTGGCTATTCCCTGTTGGCTGTCAGCAAAACCCGCTTCCTGGAAGACCTGCCGTGGTCCAGCCTCCTTCCAAGCGGTAACTAATTTAATGAAGTTACCTCAGCCCAAGGACCGCTCAGGACTCTCAGGATCAGATTGCAAACTCGCTCCTTGCTTCACCTGTCATGCCTGTCCACCCTCTAATACCACTCACCACCTGAAGGAGCCCGCTCGCACAGCACGCTCACCTGTCAGCCTCAGTCTCCGTGGCTTGCTCTCTCCTCTCCAGAATCAACATATTCATCCACAAGCCCTGCATTCAAACCTAAAACATTCAGAACCATCTTCTGTCAATAACCGTCCTCTCTCTTATAGTGATCCGATCCCTGAAGCCAGATGCCTACGGAGTCCTGACACCGGCAGAAAACCTCATTTCAATAAACTTGTTTAAATCTTTCCTGTCTCTCTGGTGTGCTGCTTTAGAGTGTCCTACTTCAGAACGATTAATGACACTTCTATGATGGGAAGCGCCACCTAAGCTTGTCAGCTCTAGTGTCAGCAATTGACAGCTGTAGGTAAACTGGGGCATGGTTACTGATATGGATTGACCCTGTAGAACATGCAATTACTTGTCCCATAATCTGAGGTGATACAAAGAAAAAGTCAATCCTTGAATACGAATTCTGTGGATTAGAGTAAAACATAAAATCCCTAACTGATGGATTCAGAGTTCACCACACATCTGCCAGTGCTTAACATTTTCATTAGGGGTGCTCTGATTCTTGATTTTGTTTGTGCTATTAGTTTTACTTTCATCTAGACTGCAGTTAAAAATCACTGCACAACACCGTTATAGAGCTCTTGTAGTCCTCCAATTCTGCGGCTACGTTTGTCCAGAATGATGGTGGTGGCGGGTTTGGGGCCTCAATATTGATCAATGTAATAGACGTACCCCAAAGTGACCCTCTAACAAGAACAGATCTTCCTTCAGAGTCATTTTTATATGAATCAGACACGAATGGGATTGCTCTATGTATCAGTATAGCCACCCCCTGCTATTAGAGGAAAAGAAAAAGTAAAAGGCCTGGCTTACCTATTCATGCCTAAGTTTCCAGTACTACTTATCCAGCAAATGGGTTTCCTAATGAAGTGCAATTTTTTTTTTTTTTCCTTTTTACGTGTTTGTTACTTATGTCCCCTTATTAGAAAAACAGAAAGAAGGATATGTAATGGCTCCTGTTTATCCATGCTGCTGCACTCTCACGAGATTAGGTTTTATCACACCCGCTCAAACCAGTTAAAGCCACTTCAGGCACACATAAATCTTACTGATTTCAAGATAAGCTGTGCTCCACTCTTTTTAACGGGTGGAGATAGATATATGAAAACTTAGGATTTTCCTTTGTACTTGTTACTACAGCTTTCGTCATCTGTTAGAGGAGGAATTGAAGGTCCCGGTACCGTGATATACTATTTTTCAACCTTTAAGCATTAAATTCGTTTTGATCTTGTTAATGGGAGTTTAGTATTTTATATTTTATGGTTGGGGAAAACAGTTTAGTCTGAGACTGAAGAACCTCAGGAACCGCAGAAAGCGGTTACATAAGAAAGTTTTGTATTTTCTTCCATTTTATTGGTGATGTATCCCATTAACATTAAACGTAAATAGTTTGATATCATTCATATCTGATTTTTAGCTGTTTCTGCCCCCATTTTTGCGTTACTTAAGACTGCTTTAACAGGTCGAGAATTACAATCAGCTTTATTAGCAGGGTGTGACCTCTCTTCTTTAAAAATATCTAACCTTACACGTAGAAAAATAAAAAGTAATAATAACACATAAAACACATAGACCTGCCCTAACTTTGGGGTACGTGTGAAACCTGTGTCTTCCATGTCTGATAGTTTTTTTTCCGCGTCTTTCACCATTCACTCTATCACCTTCACGTTTTCACACACTGAATTTACTGACTTACCTTTGTTGAGTTTTATATCCAAGCTGGAGCTAAGCTTGGTAAAAACTCCCTCGCTTATCTTGTCAACCAGGCTACCTATGTCCTCCTTCTCCGCCATAATATCAGGCTTGCTAGCTTCTTGGTTCGACTAAATTCTTCGATTTCTCGCTTGTACAGTCCGCTTGCTGTCTGGCGTCTTTCCCCAGAGTTCATGTATTGACATATCTCTTAGCTTCCTGTTATCTTATCTGCATCAATCTGCCTCCAATATACCAAAAACGAATGCTAGCTCGGGAGCTCAGGTCTTGCGGTCCTACTCTCTCTGCATCACGTAACCCCTTCTCCTTCCCCCCAGATTAAAATATCTCTAAGTTGTTGTTCTTTTCGGCTCTACCCTGAAAGGCAAAAGAGAAAAAATATATTTGAGAGGCTTCATTTTGCTAAGTGTTTGTTCTTGTAACACTTTGCTCTGCGACTAGAGGGACTGGAATTCCACCAGCCTTCACTAAGAGCTGTATTGTTCAAATGGATAGCTAAAGAGTTGGTTTTCAAGAACCAGTGGCCCATTTTCTAAATTAGATAGTTGTAAAGTAAAATAAAATACAGTAAAACCATATAAATAGTGTATTTCTTGGTCATGCTATGTTGTTATCATACCATGTTTATTCATTCATCGTCTTCCGCTTATCTGGGACCGGGTCGCGGGGGCAGCAGACTCATCAGAGACACCCAGACGTCCCTCTCCCTAGACACCTCCTCCAGCTCATCCAGGTGGAGCCCAAGGCATTCCTTGGCCAGCCAAGAGACATAGTCCCTCCAGCGTGTCCTGGGCCGTCCCCTAGGCCTCCTCCCACTGGGACGTGTCTGGAACACCTCCCGAGGCGTCCAGGAGGCATCCGTTATAGATGCCCGAGCCACCTAAAGTGGCTCCTCTCGATTTGGAGGAGCAACGGCTGTATTCCGTGCCCCTCCTGGATGGCCAAGCTCCTCACCCTATCTCTCAGGGAGTGCCCGGCCACCCTACAGAGAAAGCTAATTTCAGCCGCTTGTATCCGGGATCTCGGTCTTTCAGTCATGACCCAAAGTTCATGGTCATAGGTGAGGGTAGGAACGTAGACCGACCGGTAAATCGAGAGCTTCGCTTATCGGCTCAGCTCTCTCTTCACCACAACGGACCGGCACATTACTGCGGCAGCCGCACCGATCCGTCTGTCGATCTCCCACTCCACTCCTCACTCATGAACAAGACCCCGAGATACTTGAACTCCTCCACTTGAGGCAGGAACTCCCCTCCAACCTGAAGAGGACAAGCCACCCTTTTACGGTCGAGTACCATGGCCTCTGACTTGAAGGAGCTGATCTTCATCCCAGCCGCTTCACACTCGGCCCAGCGCATGCTGTAGGTCTTGGCTAGAGGGGGCCAGCAGGACCACGCCATCTGCAAAAAGAAGAGATGAAATCCACTGGTCCCCAAACCAGACCCCCTCCGGCCCTTGGCTGCGTCTAGAAATCCTGTCCATAAAAGTTATGAACAGGACCGGTGACAAAGGGCAGCCCTGCCGGAGTCCAACATGCACCGGGAACAGGTCCGACTTAGTGCCCACAATGCGGACCAAACTCCTGCTCCGCTTGTACAGAGACCAGATGGCCCCTAATAAAGGGGCCCCAACTCCATACTCCTGGAGCACCACCCACAAGGCATCATGAGGGACAAAGTCGAATGCTTACTCCAGGTCCACAAAACACATGTGGACTGGTTGGGCAAACCCTCGAGTACCCTGTATAGGGTATAGAGCTGGTCCAGTGTCGGACTTTCCTCTCCAATACCCTGGCGTAGGCTTTACCAGGGAGGCTGAGGAATGTGATCCCCCTGTAGTTGAAACACACCCCCCGGTCACCCTTCTTATGAAAGGGGACCACCACCCCAGTCTATACTGGGGTAGTGTACTGGAAGTACTCCTTCCACTGCCCGATAATGTCCCCATTCTCCCACCCCCACTGCAAACAGTGTTGGCGAAACACTGCTTCCCCCTCCTGAGGCGCCGTACAGTTTGCCAGAATCGCTTCGAGGCCAACCGGTAGTCCTTCTCCATGGCCTCACTGAACTCCTTCCAGCCCCGAGTTTTTGCCTCTGCCACAGCCCAGGCCGCGGCACGCTTGGCCTTACGGTACCCGTCAGCCGCCTCAGGAGTCCCACAAGCCAACCACAGCCGATAGGACTCCTTCTTCAGCTTAACAGGGTCCTTTACTGCCGGTGTCCACCACCGGGTTCGGGGATTGCCGCCGCGACAGGCACCACAGACCTTACGGCCGCGGCTACGGGCAGCAGCATCGACAATAGATGCGGAGAACATGGTCCACTCAGACTCTATGTCTCCAACATCCCCCGGAATCTGGTCAAAGCTCTCCCGGAGGTGGGAGTTGAATACATCCCTGGCCAAGGGCTCCGCCAGACGTTCCCAGCAGATCCTCACTATGTACTTTGGCCTGCAAAGTTTGTCTAGCTTTCTCCTCTTCCAGCAGATCCAACTCACCACCAGGTGGTGATCAGTGGACAGCTCAGCCCCTCTCTTCACCCGAGTGTCCAAAACATGCGGCCGAAGGTCTGATGATACGACAAGTAAGTCGATCATTGACCTCCTGCCTAG